AATGTTCTTTGTGTAATTCCTTGTAATTTTACATCTGTTGAAAATAAAACTTGAAGTCAAAGTAACGAGATTATAACAAAAATAACTGTTTATAATCAGGTTGTATATGGTTTCTTTCGGATGTTATAATGAATTAGTAATTCAATAAAAACTCAACTAAATTACTTCGAACATCGATTCTAAGCGACCATATAATTTAACGGAAACTATAGCGTGACATTTTTTAACACGGTGGATTTATCCCGGTAATAATAAGATCAACCGGAAGTCGTTATGGAGAAATTTTCAGAGTAAGGCATTGGCCCCACATTGGTCTGTCTGGTCAACTATGATGATGATGATGATGGATCCCATTTTCTGTTTGGCAAATCATCTCCACAAGGTTTGCAGTTTCGCTATATTAAAAACAGTCATGTAATTTCAAAATGAAAGGTTGTATATTAGGGTCAAATTGACCTCTTTATACTATTTTAGGTATTTCTATGATTATTTATTTTAATAATCAACATAAACGCATGAAATTAAATTTTTATACAGTATACTTGGAAACAATTTAAGAGAAGTTAAAAAATATGAGCTTTGAAGCCTACGTGTATCTTCAGAAACAACCTAAGCAAAGGCAAAAAATGATCAAAATGACCATAACGGCGCATTTAGTGTTAAATATTCTATTTTGAGATAAATGTCTTTTTGCATATATTTTTAACACGTTCACGCCGGGGTGACCCACCGGTGGGTCACGCTAGATTGTCTCATCTTGGCAGCGCACCGGAGTAAAAACTGGTTACAATAAATTTCCTTTTTTAGTTTTTTTCCGGGAATTATAAAAATCCATAACTACCAATTATTTTTAACGGACAATTTTTATATTGAATTGCTTCTTCACCGTGGTTAATTTCCTTTCAGTGAATTGTTATTGTAGAGAATAGATTAACTCTTCCCGAATGTTATCTAATATTGAAATAGTTCTTCTACCAGTATTTTCTGTTTTCCCGTATCAGTATTTTCACTTTTCCCGGCGTGAACGTGTTAATATACTCAATGGAGTAATTTTCAAGGGAACAGAAATGTTAATATATATGAATGAGCCGTTGTGGCTCATGGGATAGACGGCNTTTTAGTTTTTTCTGGGAATAATAAAAATCCATAACTGCCAATTGTTTTTAACGGATTCAATTTTTATATTGAATTGCTTCTTCGCCGTGCTAAATTTCCTTTCAGTGAATTGTTATTGTTGAGAATAGATTAACTCTTCCCGAATATTATCTAATATTGAAATAGTTCTTCTACCAGTATTTTCTCTTTTCCCGTATCAGTATTTTCACTTTTCCCGGCGTGAACGTGTTAATATACTCAATGGAGTAATTTTCAAGGGAACAGAAATGTTAATATATATGAATGAGCCGTTGTGGCTCATGGGATAGACGGCCTCTTCGGATAGATCCTCCTGTGGCTGAATTCCGTCTAAGGCTGGTCTAAAGAAACTTCACGCCTGGCGCTCGCCCCGATCACAGTACTGCTGTAAAATACCCTCCGCTCCATGAAATGATATAAAAATTTGCTCCATAGTGTTATCGGTGGTGATGGAAGGGTTTTATGAAAGTTATGTCACATTCAATTTTATGTTTTTGAGCAGACAAAAAAATCTGCTTGTGTTTGTTTTTGTTGAAAAGTGGTCGAAATTTTAATTGGAGAAAAATTGTGATAGCATCATTTAGAAAACGTTGAAGTTATCACCATACACAGATTTCAAATTTAAATTTGGGCATCCTAGTTAATGGGAAAGTGGTCTATTTAGAAAGTGGATGATAAATTTTATAAAATTATACAATTTATCCTTGTTGAAGTAAAGAAATGATCGAAACTAGCATTGCCCCTCGTCGTAGTTCACATTTAAATACAGTAACTAATTGAAGAGCGGTCGAAATTTGGATTGCCGATAAATTCTTTTTGGTATTAATACGGCTATAAAATCTGTGTGTAATGACCAGAAAATTATTGAAACTTTATTGTCATCCAATACAGAGCCTCAATTATAATGTAGACACTCTAAGTAATCGGACAAAATAAATTTGTGATTTATTCACGACTCAAGAAGTATTTATGAGATCTTTCTGGTCCCATATCTCTAAAATAAACCCACCAACTTACGAAGTTAGCATAACGAAATTAAAAGTGAAAAAAAAATTCTAAAGAAATTATCAAACAGCAGCGGTCGCCATAGGAACGCAAGCGCACTGTTTACAATTACTCTTGATTATTGTAGTTGAAAAGTGCGGAAGCCATGATATATCCAAACCATGATCCATTTTGCCAATGGGTAATAAAAATCACTGTGCAAGTGAAAAGTTCCCAAAACGGAGGAGGAAAGTGAGATGAGAGAGAAGTGTCGCCAAGTGTGGTAACCCATTCCACGTTCTTTCTTTCTTGCAACCACAATGTTTCTGACAATTTAAAGCTATAGTCGAGACTCTTTAATTAAAATTGGATTAACGAACTCTGTCCAAGATAAATGTTAACTATGGAATAAAGGTATCAGTGTTTAACTGCTTCGTAAAAGGGACATGCTCTAAAAATAACACATTGCCATTAATTTGTGATTTAATTGTGAAATATTTTGCTCACTTCTACTAAAATAAAAAACTTTGTTTGTTAGTTTAACCTATTTAAGCCTACTATTGCGAAAATGCAACATTTTGTTTTGATACTGTATGAGAAAAGTGGTAGAACATTTATACTGTAGGCCACTGCTTTTGCTTTTAAAGTATCATTTTGGCTTAATTTTAGATCAATATGTAAATATTTGTATATCAAATAATGTCGTTTTTTTATCTAGGATAAATTTCAATTAGGAAATTAATGAGTCACCAGTTTTTTTTTATGAGAGGAATTCATCACAACGGGCGTTCCTTAATGAGTAGGGTTGCAAAACTACTACGCAAATTCCTTTTCACTGTGGTTGACAATTGAAAACTAAAGTAATCGGAGTTTTTGGTAATATTCTTAACATTTCAAAAGTCACGGGAGAATTGGAACAAAATGCCGTTTCATAAAAGGGAGCACTTTTGCTCCCACTTTTTAAACTTTTGTGTGAATCACAGAAATTTCAATAACGTATTCTTACGTGACCCACTGCAATGTGCTAAATGAAGGAAAGCATAAATGCATACCTGCCAACTTTCACTCTTTCTGAGAATGAATACTCCAAGTGATAGTAAAACAAATACCGAAAAACAACCTTACTCAAAAATATTTTTATATTTTGACTAGGTTTAAATTCGCTATCATTTAGACTAGTATGCTTTTATATATTTATTGTAATTATTTAAACGTAGTTTTGGTCAAACTCATTTATAATTATTATTATAATTCAAAAATTTTAATGAGATGACATGAGTTTCGGTACCACTTTAAATACAAAATTAAAATCTTCCGGAAAAACCGGAAGAGTTTGCAGGTATGATAAATGGGTTAACTAACTAAGCGTTATTAAATTTAATCAAAATATAGTTATAGTAAAATATAAATATAGTTTGGTATATATTTTAAACTTTTTTTAAAATTATGATGGTTAAGAAAATATTCTTTTACCTACAAAGTTGGTAATAATGAAATATCTTGTTTATACTGTTCGACCATTTGGCAGTAATTTTTAACCCATTTATGCCCAGGCATCCTTTTAAAAGGAGAGTTGTTCCTTTTTTCAAAAATAAAGGAAGTGGTAGTTCAAGTATTCTAAAATTATGATTTACTTCGAAGAAATCAGATTGTTATATCTCTCATAACATATTAAGTGGGGTAATATTTATATTTGGCGACACTTTTTTCAGGAGACTGGTTTTGAACTTCATTTTACAGATCGAAAAGGTTCCTCATGATTTGAAAAGTAAATTTATTTCCTTGCGTCAAAATACAAAATTTTAATGATGTATGAGAAAAGGACCTCGTTGCGGGCTCAGTTGCTCAGCTTACAACATCTGTTCAATAGTTGTGTTTTGAAATAAAAGTTCGTGTGAAGTATTCTGAATGTAAAAGTAAAGTATTAAAACAACATAAGGGAAGATATCAGTAGCGGTACTTAGCCAAATATGCCCATTGCGGGGTTACGGTTAATGAAAATGCAGACTACTTAGCAAAGAAAGGGGCCTTAATTATTCAGACTTCTGTGCATTATATGCCGTTCTGTTCCATCAAACAGCTTATTAAGAGGACCTTTAAGACCTGTGCTCATGAAGAACTATCGTATCATGATCGTACTTCTACTAAGTCTTGGAAGTTTACCATCCTAAATTTGAGAAATGGCCCAAGACGAAGAGTGATGGCTGAATTCCGCTTGGCCACTGGTCATAACTGTCTGCGGAAACATCTGTCTAGATTTGGTATCGTTCCTTCTCCGGTATGCACTCTTTGCAGTTCAGGTGAGGACTCCACGCACCTTCTCCGCTGCTCTGCACTTTGCAGGAATTATATCACTGAACGCTATTGGGAAGCTAGAGACATGTTGTGATTAATCGACTCTGTTGCAGCATCTTTTGTTTCTGTTCTTATTTTTATTAGATGTTTATGTTTGATGTTACTGTCTATAATCTGCCATTGGAAATTTTAAAAAAATTAAAAAAACTTAGCCAAATATTAGTGATTTAAAATCTGTGGCATATAAAAAACTATAAAAAAATTCTATGCGGAGACTTACTCAATGGGTGTAACTTGTAGCTCATATATATATATATATATATTTGTATTTATTATANTGTTCTATATATATATATATATATAATAAATTTTTACAAATTTAAAATTTCTTTGACGGTTATAGTTGGCATGAGCAGATACCGATACGGAAATTTCCCCCCTCAAATCTATCGAATATATTTTTCCTAATTAGTTGACATAAAAATAATATATTTATGTTTAATTTGCCGTTTTTGCAGAAATCGTTTTAAGAAAGACATGTTAAATCAAGAAATACAGCTAAAAACGATATTTACATGGTATTTTAATTAAAAGTACTTTACATTATGATACAAGAGCATTTATTATACAAACATTTCTTGTGAATCGAAATGATGGCTTTCTTCTCTAAACACAAAATATGAGAACAATCAACTAGTACGCTGCAAGGAATACGCATTTTATTGTGATGCATAGTTACCGACTTTTACGATTTGAATGAAGAAAAAAAAATTTCGGTGGTAGAAAAAGCTTAATGAAAAATTTAAAATGATAAGCAATTTTAAAAACTTTGCCAGAATTTAAAAAAAATAATGGCATTATTTCGAAGATTTATGTTAGTATATATAAACATGAATTCTTTATTCCTTTTTGGTTTATGTTATTTTAAATTAAATTTTTAAAATTCAGAATCATATTAAAGTATCAAGCTTTCTAATAGAAAAAAAATCATTCGTAAAAATAGTAAAAGTTATCAGATAGGTTAATTTTACTGTCATTTCGTGGTTGTCGAAAAGCAAATTTTTATTTGTCCAAAAGATGGCTTTTCATAATTTAGTCATTCTATGGCATTATAACAAGTCTATATAAGAAACTTTTTGTCCACTTGGATCTATAAAGACTTCTCTACCATTCGTATTAGCAATACTTCTGTCATTTTGACCGATAAAAATATATTTATCATCTCCATGGTATGCTGGCATATCTTCATAATCATCTATAATAATGACGGCATCTGGACCAAACTCGGTTCCTTGAGCATTACGAATTTCACTTCCCTTGCTAATTGCTGGGCTCATTCCATCGTATGGGAGGACATCTACATAATCGAATTTTCCAGAACTTTTAGCTACGTTGTTCTTGGAGGTATTGTTACTTTGAAAACTTCTAAATAACTGCTGAGAATGTCTGATGTCATCATGAGTTGCTGGAAACAATGTAATGTCTTTTTCTGAATAGGAGTCTTGCTTGCTTAGGCCAGTCTGCTCAAGGTAACCTGAATAGTCAGAAATATATCTTAGTGGGTTGTTTCTAATATCTTTACCGGAAATAAGGCCATCGTTGTTGAACGTAGCCGGGATGTGATCGATAAAAATTGTTGGGTCTCGAAAAATAGGTTCATTTGGCAATTCAAGTCCTTTACTCGCAGTGTATTCTTTCTCCGGTGAGAAATTCTTATAAGCTGCAGGAATTTCTCTTTGTGGTGAGGTGTACTTAAATGGCAAACCCTGTAAAGGTGAACTGAAACTTTCAGATGAACTGAGACTTTTAGTCTTGCTTTTACTGGAATCAGCAATTTTTAATTCTGAACTCGTATTCTCTCGGCGCTTGCTTTCATTTTTTCTAGAGGTCTTTGATTTCCTTACGACTTTTGTTCTTTTCACAACAGTTTTATTTTTTGCTCTTGAAACTAAAGGGGTTATGACAGTTAACTTTTTATTTGATGATTCTGGCTGATACGAGTCAGTTTTATTATTATTTAAAGTTTCAGAAACTATGGAAGATTTGTTCACAACTTTCTTTAGGATTGTAACTATTTTTCTTTCAGCAGTTTCCTTCGATTCATCAAAAATATTATCTTCTGATTCACGTTTTGTAGTCATCTGAGGTGGTATAGTGCTAGTTGTAAAATCGGCGCTTACAGGTTCTATGTCTTGTGTTTGATTCTCGTTACTGTTAGACGAAGAGCTATTCTCTTGACTTTGAATTTCACTTTCTAACTCTGTAAGTATTTTCTCTTGATTTTCAGTCATTTCATTGGTCGTTGAAGTGCTTGTCTCATTATCAAGTAAAGCTTCATCCAATTTGATGAGTCCATTATCTGTTTCTCCACTAGAAACTAATTCCACTGGGAAGGACATGTTTCTCTCAGCATTTAGCACTCTGATTATCATTGGCATATTATGCAGTTTAGAAACTAAATCACTAATTCCATTGTTTTGAATTACTAGTTCTAACATAGGTTTTTCCATGGATTCGCTCGCTTTGGAAGTTGTAACATCGTTTTCGTAACCAGTAGCAACAGTAGGTTCAAATGTAATAGATTCTGCAGAGGATAACGTAATGGTAGATGCTTCAGTTTCTGAGCTAATTGAAGATGCTGTTGGATTAGTGACAGCAAAGGATGATTGGGTATTAAGCTTTGACGTGAATTCAAATATGTCTTTTTCAGTTATATCAATAGGTTTTAATGTAGTAGGTGCAGTCTTGCTAGCTAATGTGGTGAAATCAGTAATCAGGGAAGTTGCATCTGATGGGTCATTAACGATATTTTCTGCCCCTTCAGTGGTTGTAATTTCTTCTAAGTGAGATGAAATAGTTGATGTGAGGCTGGTCGAAATGGGTGATCCAGTAATGGTTGTCGCGTCAACTTTTGTGCTTGTGTCAATAGATGTTGTTGATTCAGTCGAAAAATTAACAACGGTAATTTCAGGAGCTGGATTGAATTCTTCTAAAGAAGTTACATACTCATTTGATAATTCTTTTATGTTATCATTAAAAAGATTACTTTTACTGGCTGTTGGGAAATCTTCAAACAAATATAAAGGAGACTCTGGAATTGTAACTTTAAATGCAGAAAGATCCTCTTCATTTTCTTCCTCCGAATCTTTGTGAACAACTTCAAAAACATCTTGGGTTAAGTTTGGGAAAGGGAAAGTATCTTTATTGAGGTCAAAAACATCTACAAGGAAAGCGGAGGGTGTTGATACTGACTCTTGTGAGGAAGTATTAAGCAGAAATTCTTCTTCTGGGTCATTCAAGGAGATGGTTAGAGTTTCCTGAGGTTCATTGGTGTTAGTTATGAATGTCAATTGGTTTTTAACGTCTTCTTCCATGCGTTGAAGCTCATTTCCTACGTTCAACGAACTGTTTTCAGGTTTGAGAGAGGACGATTTAGAATCCAATTCATCAAACACAACATCCGAAAATGCACTATTTGCTTCTAGTTCAGTAGCTTCATTCTTTAAATGCTTTGAATCATTAATATCAGTTTTAAAATTTTCATAATCATTCTGAGGTTTTGATGTTACAGTTCCTGCTTCATATTGGATATTTGGATTTTTATAATAAGGAATACCAGTTTTATTAAGAATTTCTAATAATCCATTACCTGTAGAATATATTCTTGTCCTAGAGTGTGGTTTGCTTTGACCATTTTGTCCCAAATTCATGACGTAATGGTAATACTGACCATTTTTACTCGAAGTATCAAATACTGTAGATAGGGGAGAAGATATTATTGATGGAAAATTATTGCTTTTGAGAATATTTTGAGAAAAATTGGTAGATTTATCTGGAACTGCAAATTTTCTTAATGTGTAAGTATTTTTATACATTAAATGATCATTTACTTTTTGCATTTCCATTGGAAACTCAACCATTGTTTGATTTGTACTATTTATAGCTTTGTTAGAAGAATCAAAAGTTGTCACTGGTAATGGAGATTTAGGTTCATCTTTACCAACATACGCTTGGTTTTGTTGAGGATAAACAGCTTTTGGCTTTGAAACATCAAACTTTGGTGCCTGAGGTTTTAAAAGGGGTAAATTAACAGGATTAAAAGTTGTAGTTTGAGGTAGAGATTTAGGTTCTTCTTTACCAACAAAAGCTTTAATTTGCTGAGCTACGGGAAAATATGATTTTGGTTTTGAAACATCAAACTTTGGTGCTTGAGGAATTAAATGAGACAAATTAACAGAATTAAAAGTTGTACTTTGTGGTTGAGATTTAGGTACTCCTTTACCAACAAAAGCTTTAGTTTGCTGAACTATGGGAAAATACGGTTTTGGTTTTGAAACATTAAACTTTGGTGCTGGAGATTTTAAAAGGGGCAAATTAACAGAATTAAAAGATGTAGTTTGTGGTTGAGATTTAGGTTCTTCTTTACCAACAAAAGCTTTGCTTTGCTGAGTTATAGGAAAGAGTGCTTTTGGTTTTGAAACATCAAACTTTGGTGCTTGAGGTTTTAAAAGAGGCAAATTAAAAGAATTAAAAGATGTAGTTTGTGGTAGAGATTTAGGTTCTTCTTTTCCAACGTATGCTTTGTTTTGTTGCCTTATGGAATACGCTGTTTTTGGTTTTGAAGCATCAAATAATTGACCTTGCGGTTTGAAAAGAGGCAAATTAGAGAGAGATGAAAACTTCTGTTTATCTTTAGTGACTGGTGTTCGCAGCAATTCAATTTTTTCAGTCGGGATAAAGGCTGATTCTCTGATTGGTGGATAAGAAAAATTGATTGCCTGCAGCCTAGGTGATTTCACAATCTGTATTCTTGGAGAGGATTTAAGAGAATCAACATTCCTTTGTTCATTTGGGATGCGTTCAGCACTGTCTTTATTTTCTTGTTTCTCGTCTCTCATCACCTGTGTAGCAACCAGATCTACAGTTTCATTCACCAATGCCGGATTAACGAAAGAAGATTTAGATATGGGCTCAGTAAATGTAGATGGTTCATTTCCCTGAACTTTAGCATCATTTGCAGTAGCATAGCTCAAGTCTTGTTGCTTAGTGGATGGTGGATATATAGGCATTTTATTATCACGTTGAGATTCTTTAAAAACAAGAGGAGTTAAGAAAGAGTTTCGAGGAGTATTATATAGTGCGCTAGGAAACTCTGGTGGAAAAAAGGCATTTTCAGGCATATTAAATATTGCACTTGGGGAATTTTTAGGAAGGAAAGAAGTTTGAGGAGCATTATGTATTGATTCGGGCACAAATGCATCTTGCTCTTTTGACTTTAATCTTTCACCAAAACGTACGGATGATGAAGAAGGATCAAAACGCAATGTGTTTGAATGAAAGTTAGCCCTCAAACCATAATCGTCCACTGCATAATGAACTTGTTGGGTATCACCAGCTCTGTTTTTTACCGTATATATTTCCTGATAAGGTTCAAAAAGAGCTGTTTGTTGCAATCCTCCTGTGTCTGTATCGCTTACTGGAATCAGCTTAGCTTCGTGCTGATTTCTCTGAAAGAAAAATATAAATTAAGCAGCAGAAAGTAAAAAAAATCTTCGTAAAATAATTGTTAGGATTATTTAGCACTATCAGCTCTTTGACGTCCCTACTCTGAAATCTAAAATTTTTACGATGTCGATCTTGATTTAATTTTAAAAATAAGGTATAACATCTTGGAACATTTTCTTTAATCTACAAGCATATTTTTAATGGATAAAAACAGGAAAATAAATATTTGTTCAATTATTTTCCAAGTAGTGACCACACTTATAAATCAATTTCAAGTATAAATCATAACGATAAACTATAGCGCTTTTTATTGCGAAACATATTTCTCGATTTTGAAAACTCACCGTGTGTTTTGTTTGTTTTCTCAAAAATGTGGGTAGTGTAATCAACACTAAAGTAAATGTTGTTGGATGTTTACATCTTAAAATAGTTAACTTTGATTAGCCTTTTTTCAGAACATACTGGATTGATTTTCATATTAAAAACTATTTATTTATTTCTTCGTGTTTTAGCACATATACGTTTAAATATACTTTCTCGGAAAGTTTCGTCATTTTTTATCTATTTTAAAATTCAATTGTGAGATAAAACTTTCTCATGTTTAAAATTTTGCATTTCTTTTTTAAATAGAAATATTTAAATGCGCATCATAACAAGGAATCAAAATAATAAACTAAAAAGCTGATAAAAATATATTTAGTATTTTCGTATAAAATTTTAATCAATGTAAGAATATTACTTATAATCGGTATAGAATAATGTATCATAACTATTAGACAATTTATAATTAGGTTTTTCTTTAACTAATGTGCTGTTGTGATACGAATAAGAATCAAATATCGAATTTAAAAGTTTGCTACAACTAGAAGAAAAAAATTATAATAAGCATATGAATTTTTTTAGCATGTGAACTTTTTTTAATATATAAATTTTTTACAAACTATTTTGTTTTAATTGGCTTTAATACATAAATATTGCTGTAAATTCCGTCTAAAAAGTTTGCGACTGTTTGTGACTGTGTTTTTTTTTATAAAATGGCAATATTTAAAAAACATTTTTTTTTTTTAAAATGATAACAACTTACGTTGATTTTCGATCCAAATTGACTGTTTAATAATATTTGTCCATCTGCAAGGGTTAATAGAGTCCAACAAATAAATACCTGAAATATAAAAGTATACAAATTTTAAAAAAACATTATTTGTCTTTTTCTTGATGTTGGATTAAGGTGCCTAAAAATTACTTGTATGAAGACTACAGGGAAAGGAAAGAAAAAAAAGTGTCACACTAAAATAAAATAGCTTGGTTTTATTTTGAAAAAAAAACTTGATCAATTGACATGTTCCATTTCTTAGAATGCAATTCCAATGTTATGTAAAATTATAAAAGCATGAAATCGGTGTAGAAAATAGATTTTACAAAAATTGTATGAAAAACCTTAAGTATTTTAAAATTTAAAGCAATTTTTTCCTTAGTGTTTTCATCAGTGTTTCTTCAATATATGCACGCATTTTTAAGATTAAATTTACTTTTCATCTTTCATGAGAAATATGCTTATTTTGAATAATTGTTTCCGTTTTATGAAAGATAGAGTGCTTTGGTATTCCTTTTTCATTAATGAAAAGTTGGGTAGTTTTGTCCTTTTATTTAATTTAATAAAATATTAGACTAAAGTCATCTGCTCCTCTAACCTTCATAGACGATCCGTTCTATTTGACTTAAATCTATCAAAAATATTCTCTTATGTTGAATATTATGCTCTGAAACCTTTTTTGCACTTTTAATGAAAATAGTTATAAAGCTCAAAAGCATCGCATGTCACGTGACGTATATTTATTAAGCAATCTCAAAGTTTGTAAATAAATTTTCGATTTTTCGAAATTAGAAAATTGTGAATTCGAGGATGAATCATCATTCGAAAATCAAGAGTAGAAAACGTCCTCAAACTGAGGAAAAGCTCACCTTTTCAAAGTTTATTTTAGATTTTATGACCATCACTGAAACAAGGTTTATTTGCGCAGGCTTTTATATATTTTAATTAACACTTTAGAAGTGAAGTTTGGTCTGATGATAAAGTATTTAACATAATTTTTTTTGACTGGACTAGAGTGAAAGAAAGTCTAAAACAAGGCTTACAGTAAAAGCTGAAAAATGCTAATATTTTTACATGCTTCTAGTTAATCTTTAAGGAAGCAAGTTTGGCATACTAATATTTCTGCTAAATTTAAAAATCGATTCTTTGGTCACCCTTTCTATGCCAATCAAATGTAAAAAATGTCAAAAGTAAAATACAACGTTTTCCGTTAGGATGCTCTCTATCTAGATTCGTAGTTAAAATTATGCAATTAGCTTTAAATTGTAATAGTTCAGTTCAATACAGATTAAAAATAATCACAGTTTACCATTTAAATCTAAAATCCAAAACGTACTTCAATATTAAATAATAAGAAATGGTTAAATATTTATGAAACTATAAGGAATAATTATATAAGAGGAAATATAAATTTAGTGAAATTACCATCCACACTGAAATGTTTTTTGTGAGTTCGCTTAGTGCGACCGATGAGCTTACTGCTCTTTACGTAAATTTTCAAATCATAGAATTGAGGTTGATATAGGTACTCGCATTTTTTTTCGATATTCTGTTTAAAACGACATTTGCTCCTTAGTAAATTTGTTTTTCAGTACCTTAAATATATCCAACACTCAATGTCAACTGATGTCAATTTTATCTTCTTTTTTTAAAAACAACAGGTTACAATTAAAGGGTTAAAATTACATTTGAAGTCCCAGATAGGGCACTCCTAAATTCACACATCAGTGCATTCATTGGAAACCCTTGATTTAGCAAACAGTACTATCCTACTACGGAATTTCCGTAGTATAGTTTCAGAAAATATTTTTCGCAGTGAAGGAAAAGATAATTGCTCCACTAATTTTCCAATTATTTTCAAACACAAAATTGTTTTCTAGTTATAACGAAATAAGTTATATTTTATTTAGTTCAGTATTTTTCATGTTTAGTAATATTTCCACCACTACTTATCAAATTTTTAAAGTATCATATCAAATACAATTTCATTGCAGCAATCTCGGGATGACACTCATAAGGAGAGAGCGTAATTGTCCCTATTCTACAAGTTTTACTATTTAATTCGCTACCAATTTATTGAAACTTTTGCAGAAAGCGGAGTATTTGGCGTCCCTGATAATATTTTAATAAATTAGAATTAATAAAAGAATCTCTTCCACTACTAGAAATGAATAATTTGATAAAATATATTAAAGGTTAAACGCTCAGTTGGCAGAGGTCTGCAACGAATAATCTATAAGCAATATTAAAATTAGCAACGTTTCTAAGCCTAATTAGCTCAGTTTTCATGTTCGAAGAGGATGTGTGTAAATTCATTGTTTTTTTTTTTTTTAATTTGAATAATTTACAATGTAATTCATGGTGGTAGTTGCAACTGACTTATTAAATAAATCAAGATTAATTGAGTTTCTTCCAGTTAAAGTTTTACTCGCCAATGGCACCCCAAAATCAGGCTTTGAAGTTCACCCGAAAGTGTTGACAAAAATTCTATTTGTTTAAAAATATATCACTTTAGTTCGATACCTCTTGAAGAAATATTTCGCATAATACTCAATTTTTAAAAAGTCTTGACAGGATTTTCCACTGATCCGTTTTCTGCATTAGTTTTAATAAATTAGTAGCGAATTAATTTAGTAAACCTTAGAAAATAAGGATAATCACGTGTTAATTACTTAAACTGCTTAATGTCATGTAATAAAATTTAATGCAACTGTTTTAATGTTAAGGTAGATTTCAAGGTATCTTCCATACGGCACCTGCCTCAACTGAGTTTTTTTCCAAAGCCAATGAAGGAATTAAGTCTAAGTTAAAAGTAGAATAATGTGAATTAAATGCAACTGCTAAGAAGTTGTATTTTTTCTTTACGTTCTGCTGGAAAATTACTTAATGTAAAAAATACAGAACTAAATAGAATTTAAATTGGTTACCGCTAGAAAATATTTTTTTACAGAGCTGAGCAAGTTGGCATCTCTGGATGGTTCTGAATAGTAATAAGCTAAATACATATGTTAACACGTTGAGCACCGCGTCAGCCATCGGTGGCTGACACTGGATTTTCCATTTAGGCCGCGTCAGCCACCGGTTGCTGACACTGAAATTACATTTAATCCGCGTCAACCACCGGTGGCTGACACTGAAATTACATTTAGGCAGCGTAAACCACCGGTGACTGACACTGACCTTTCACATAGGCCGTAAAAAACAGCTGGCTGACAGCGTATAACATGATATTGAATTATAAAATTTACACTCTTTTATGGAATTGCAGAAAATGTATTCAAAATTTACTTAATTATTGTGATTCTTGGTTTAATAAATTCAATTTAGTAGATTTTTATCCACCTTTATTTTTCTTAGGCTTATATAATTCACCACATATGTCTAATATTTCGTGACGGAAAAGGGCCGCTAACTGCCTAAGGCGCCCAGATAAAATTTGATGATGATATATCATGATAAACCTTCGAAAAAAATAGCAAAATCGTCTAATTTGTGCAAATTTAGTTTGAAGTTATTTACCGTGGCCAGATGGGCAAGTCATGTAAAATTAGCGTGGCGTTCAACGTGTTAATAAAAGTTAAGCGAATTATACTCAATCTAAGCAAATTGTACATTATAGCAGCAAATAGTTGATTGGTTATTAATAGGTTAAATAAGAATTGTAACTCAAACTGTTAAAAATATTCCACTGGTATGAAAAGATTTAAAAAAAAGGAATTTAAATAGTTTCGAAAAAAATTTCTTTATGATTTCACTGTTTTGTAAAATATATATCGTCTTTGAAAAGAATAAAGTTGTTCGCTTGGATGGATGACAGCTATCATCTGAATTCGGCGAATATAATAGGCCATTGGTTCTTGTGTAAAATTATGAATAAATTTTTTGCTCGTGGTTCTAAATCACAATAGCGGAATGAATTGTATATTCCTAAAAAATGTATTAAATTAGCGGCTTCTTTCACTTTTAATTTGGTATTGAGTTTAAGGTTGTCTCTTCACGCTTTTCAACTAATCGTACATTTCAATTTTTACTTCATAAAAATTGTAGTTTATGGTTTAACATTTCATCTATAGTGCAATAAATTTGAGTAAAATGATTTTGATTACCATGACTTATAAATACAAATGATCATATAAATCACACGATATTGAATTGAAATGAGAAATTTTTTAGGAAAATTGCTTGCCCTTTACTTCGACTTTAACCCTTTGGAGCATAATTTTTATTAAACATATTTTTCATAATTCTTTCATTATTTTGAATTAAATTGGGGCAAAATTAGGGAAAATATTATGTTTAGCATTTTAATAATTTATGGTTATAAAATGCAGTCATGAAACACCGGTGTCTTTTTCAGCGTCAAAAGGATCTAAACAATATTTTTTTAAAATTAGCGTTTATTTACAATTATTTAGATTTAAGAGAAGCAGATATTCTTCACTGAAATTTCTTTAATTTACAAAATCACAAATTTAAATTACAAATTTAAAAAATTGATGAAATTTTGAATATGAATGAAAAAAAATATCAAACTACTTCTTTTGAATTTTATACTTAGATACCGATAAATCCGATGATCTAACGGAATTTTTTTCGTAACTATTACACAATTTTTTATAATTAAAAATATTCCATCTGCGTTAAAGAGTTTAAGGATGTGGTGTGCTGATATAACAGGGATCGTCAACTATAGTTTGTTCACCAGGAGTTCATCTTCTGTTCAATATATTTCATGCAGCTACATGTAGCATAAATTCAGAGGACCGCTATTTTAATCTTAAACTTTTGTTCTCCAAGCACTTTTTAATTTGCTGTTTGAATTACTGTAAATACTAAACCATATAAACTAAATGTTAAATAGAATGATGACGTTGCTAATAAAGAATATTTATATAAAAATATTAAGACACAAAAACTAAAGTTTTAAAGTTGTGACGTTTAATGATATCGTAAAGGCATGAGTAGTGTGTAAAGGTTTGAAGATCGTAACATGCAATTATAAAAAATAATTTTTTTCAGTTTGCTACTAATTATTACTCGAAAATTTTCAGTTTACGTATTCGTTAGCTTTTTATTAGTAGTGGTAGTCGCGAGCTGCTAAATTCTCACAGCGTTCGACAAATCAAGAAGCAATTTTGTAATGACTTTTAACCCTTTCGCGCCGACTGTCACAAATACGTGACAGCAAAAAACCGTATCAATCAGGGTAAGAAGATAAAACTGGTAATCAAAGTATTTCTTTAGCAGTTTATTTGTGGGCGGAGTTATAATTTTTTGATTTATTTAATTCACCATTACTTTGTTCAAAATAAAACTATTTAGTTATACATTGAATTATCATTGATTATATATATGATTAAACTAACAATAATTAAAATAAAAGCAAAGTAAGTCTGTAAAATTAGTAACGAATACATTTAAGTTACCATTTTTTATTTAATTGCAACTTGATTCTGATTTTGTACGAATGCTTTTCTGAATCACCCGTCCCCAAGGGGTTAATTTAAAAAATAAATTGTACTTAAAGTTTACGAAAACTACATACCTGCCAACATTCACTTTTTCCCGAGAATGGATTTTCTAAGTGGTAGTAAAACAATTACGAAAAACTATATTACTAAAAAATGTAATTTTTTAATAGGTTGAAATTTGCTATTGTTAAGACTGTTATGCTTTTACATATTTGTTGTAATTATTTACATGCAGTATTGGTTAAACTCATTTTTAATTCAAAGAGTACAATGAAATAACATGAGTTTCGCCACTTTAAATATGAAAATAAAATATTTTGGGAAAACACAGGATGAGTTGGCAATTATGCATCCTGCATGTCAACAGAGAAGCTTACAGTGTTAGATTCGACAAAGTATTTAAAAAAACATTAGAGAACGACAAACTAAAATTTGCAGATTTTTGGTTAATTTTGCCGACTATTTGAAAGGCTCAGCACGGCCTAACTGAAACAATGTAGCTCATCTCATAAGCCTTTGAATTATTTACAAGAAGTGTAGACTAAAAAATCTTTAAATCAAATTTACTGAACAAAGAAACCAACATTAAAAGACTACCACTCGAAAATATTTAGCAAGTTTAACCGGAGCAAGTTGGCATCTCTGTGTTAACAAAATTTGCCCCCCCCCCTGTTTTTTTTCAAACAACTCTGTCAGAAAGCAAATTTTAATATAATTATTTCAGAATACATATTTTTTCAGCATAAGGCCAGCTGTTACCAGGAGAAATTTTAAAAAGTGAGAATTTCAAGTAAAAATATTAGTAAAGGCTTCTGTAATTTTAGAAGCTTTCACCTTTAGTTCTCCACTGACCCATACAGTCACTACTTTAAAAATTAAAATATTTATATCTTTATAATTAGTTACCATATTATTTATTAAATTTTGAAATTATACAAAAATATTAAACTTAAACTGTCTCAGTGTTTACATTAGTTCATCAAACTGCATATTGAAGTACACGCTGTGCAGAAGGTTGGTTACCGATTAATAAATTAATTTTTTACTGGTTGAATTCCTCGATACAAGCATGGAGCCACGACAAAAATGATAGCTTTTTCAGTGACCACAGCGTAATATAAAAATTAAAATGGTAGCTATCTTACTATAAAACAGATCTGCCAATTTTTACTCTTTCCGTGGAAATATATTCCAAGTGGAAGTGAAAGACAATTAAGTTTTTAGACTAAAATATAATTATTTTAATTGTTATTAAGTTTTATTAGTCAAAATACCTCGTTTCCTCTTGGAAGGTTAAACCACTGGAGTGGTTTGCTTATTATCCTTTGAGCTATACGCTTATTTACTATTTTAGATTACATTAATTTGATTAAAGGTACACTCATACTCATATGTGGTGGTTATCTTAGCATCAGCCCCGACAGGGGCACTAACTAATTCATATGAGTGAGAATAAATAATAAATCGCCGAAGCGAAAATGAATGGTGAGATTAAAGGTACATACAACCCTAATCAAATGTAAATGTTTAAGTTGTTATTATATAAGGTTAAATACGAATGTATCAGTTGCATCATATAAATGTTCATAAAAAAATTTTTTTCTGTCATAAGATATCTGCAACTAGGCCAGCAACCATATTGCCTGTTAACCTCAACGAAACCAAACAAAATGACAAATACTACCCAGGTGCCCAGATCCAAACGCAAGACAAAAAATTTGCAGCCAAAAAAAAAATGAGTGGTCGATAAAATTTTGAAAGATTACAGAGAAGCGCTTAAATATATGTTTCATTTGTAAAATACGAAATTTTTCCTGCATCCAGATATATTTCTTTAAATATTTATTGACAGCTTAAAACATCTAGATATACCTCACATTTGCTACCACTTTAAAAAAATTGTTAGCCTGTGAGAGCCCTAAGTGGTACTTTGAAGTACCGGCATTAAAGCAATAGGTTGGTCAGCTTTAACATATAGTTTTAAACTTCCTTTAATTTACATACATATTTTGATAGATGGAAATAAGTTAAAACAATATGATGCCTCAATCCTTTTCTGTCATATATCAAACTTTTCCTAGGTGTGGTCACTTTTAATCTTGAGTAAATTTTATGAAGAATAATTGTGCAACCCTTGGTCTGGAAAATTTTTGAAAGTGGTAGCAAAAATGAGGTATATCTAGATGTTATAAGCTATCAATAAAATTTTACTTCTATGGGAATATATAAGGGTACAAAAAATAACTCGAGAATAATTTCGTAATTTACAAATGAAAGATAAATTTAAGTACTTTTCAGTTGTCTTGAAAATTCTTAGCAACTTCTTATTTATCTGTTCCACGTCGTGGGAACCCTGGTTAAGTTCAAAAATTCGTAATGAATTGATTTCAGATCGATGTTTGAATATTTATATTGATAATATACTATAGTAGAAATAAACGTTTGAATTTTACGAAAAAAACGCTAAGATAAAAATAATTATGTTGCTATACTTAATCTCTTTGAAAGAAGAGCATGTTCCCAAGATGGGTACTTAAATACTTAATGGGATTAATATTTATTTTTTATTACGTTTTTTTAAAATAATATTTATTACATTGCTTTTATGTTTATATATTTGATAATAGGTAAAAAAAAAAGTTTTAAATAAATGAATTATCTAAACATTAATCAACAATTTCTTATTTCCTAAGCTCAATCTAAGAAAAAAAATATATAAATCACGTTTTCTAATATTTTTCCATAACTTACCGTAGTTGTCATAATCCTTAAGAAGTAGCTTAGATATTCCATTTTTCAGAGGTAAAAAGACTCAAATGATAAATCGAACTAAGTCCGTGAAGCTTATATAGTATTTTAGATTTATGAATTTACTTTTTTTTCCACAGACGATATCCTTTTGTCCTCGTCTGCGTTATTTAAAATATTTAGAATGCGGGTTGGCATCAGTGAAGTGCAACCGTTATTCTTTGACTTCCATTCACTTTAATGCAAATAAAGGGTGGGCAATGATATTTTTGCCGCCTCGTTTGCCACCAGACTCGTAAAAGTATTGGACTTCCTTTCACTCGCAATTTTTGATGGCATGATTCTATGTCAAAGTTTCTATTTCATTCAATAAAAAAAGTTACTTCCAGGTTTAATAAATAAAAATACATTTTTGAAGTAAGAGACGAGAAACTGAAAATTATCGATATTTAAGTAATGAATTTTTTCCCATTTGTAAATTAATTACTTATCGAACGCAAGAAGTTAAAATGGCTTCCTTTTTCCAATTAAAGAAATTGAAATCATTGTTTTTAGAAATAGAGTTATTAAAAATTTATATAATTTAAATTTGTGTTAGTAAAATTACTATTTGCATTTAGATAATATAAATTTAAATTACATTAATTTATATTTGTATTTTCTATTACTTAAAGTTGTGCCAATATGATTGATAATTCTATTTATGAAATTTAAATTTGTGTTATCGTTCTTTATGTTTATATATTTTATATTTGTATTTATGAGATTTAAATTCTAAATATAAATATTATATTTAATATAGGGCAAATGGGGATAATGTGGACCGTTTCTAAATATTTTTTTTTCCAAAAAAGTATATTAATCATAATTCTGAAAATGTCTTGTATGTTTTTCATTAAAATGTGAACGTTTATGTTAGTTTTGAATTGAAAATAAGCGAATTCGTATGTGTAGTTTTTAAATAATCTTTTTATTAAAAAAAATAGTTGTTTTTGTCTTTACTAGCACCACATTGTAGGGTTATAACCGGCGTTAAATAGTCGACCCAAATCTTAGTTACCGACTATCAGTGATCAACTTCATAGCCTTGAATGTTGAATCCTACCCAGAAAATAAAGGAACTCCTGGATCACGCATTAGGGCAAACTAGCCTATACGGAGAACTTTTTGATGTAACTAAACAGCATTTGCATTAAATGGTGAGGAAAACCTCCCACTGTTAGCCTAACTGCAATGGAATTCTAGCCAAGGAACCGTCTACCACAGAGAATATTTTGCGAGGGAACTGCGGTGGTTGTGAGCCGGGAGCCGAATTCATATCAACCAATCATCGTTGGAATTCCTGGGTTAATGTGGACAATTCTTAAAACTTATTATTTAATCTTTTGCCAGACATAAAAAAAGCAGGTGAAATCAAAATGAAACTAATTTAAGAATGTTTCGAATAAATCATTGTAAGTACTGTATGAAGTAAATGAATTTAAAACTCTTTATAATAGTAAGTAAATGTTAAATCATGATAAATACTCAAATTTCAATTTTTAGCTTGCGATTATTCTTTAATATTTAAAGCAATAACAAGTACTACTTTTTACTGTATTATTTTTCATATAATATTTATGAGTTTTAGCGATTTGATTAACTCGATAAATAAACAATAGAAAATTATATATAATATCTGATAATAGAGTAGGTAAAAGTAATGTTAAAAACACACTAACCATTCTTTCTCTTTATTTAACTAAAACTGGGTGCCTGGGCCGCACAGCGGCCCCTAACCCATTCATCATGAAGTATTTACAAGTTGAATTAAAAAACATTTTGAATTATGCAGCATTTAGGTAGCATTACGACACTAACCATTATAGTTAGTACACTAGCTCCTTTAATGTTGTTGAAATGTTTTAGTGGTAGCAAAAATAAGAAAATGGTCGAAAATTTAATAAATTTTTGAACACTATTATGTGTTAATATATTAAGAAAATAAATCTATATAAGAACTGTGGATCGACTGACCACTAAACGTTTAAATGTTATCGTAAAAATGTATTCAGTATTATGTAATACTTTTACAGTGGGAGCAGCTTCAGTGTTGAAATGCATGTGCTAATGTGCGCAACATAATCAGTATTAATTTTATTATTTTTTAAACTCTTCAATGAGCCATTTATGTAAATTAAAACAGTAAAGGTAAATTAAAACATTTTTGGAATTGAAACTGATATAAGAACTATTTATTGTAACTATATCACCCATTAGGTATTATAAAATAGTAAAAACTTACTTTTATTTTCATAAAATATGTATTATTAATACTACAAACTTCGAAAGGAACTATACATAATTTAACTTTTTATAACTTTTCTGAAATTGGCATATGATCATCAAGCTGAAGTCATCAACAAAAGCAAACTCAAATTAAAAGTGGTAAAAAAAATTTTCATGGATTTTTGAAATTGTTGATAAGCTGGAAATCTACCATTGATGATAATCTTAGATAAAAATTCTTTCAGAAGTTTTTTTTAACACTAATAATACCATAACGGGTCAAATGACCCATTTTGAACTTCTGCTTTGAAAATACACGTATCATCTTATTACTTCTGCAAATTTGACTTAATGACTTTTTATTACAAAATTAATCTACAGTTCTTATACTATTTTTATATTTTTTTTGCTTTGTTTATGTTGAGTAATACATGTCGTATACCGTTGTCTACCACATCGAGTCATTTGACCCTGAGAACATTTCTTGTTTTATAAGCTTATCGATACATATTGCTTATCGTATTGTAGCAGGCCTGAAAGCGGGACGGAAAAGGGAAAATACTGGTAGAAGAACTATTTCAATAATAGATAATATTCGGGAGGAGTTAATCTATTCTCAACAATAACAATTCGCTGTTAGGAAATTTATCACGGAACTTGAACTTGAACTAAAGTTGTTTACGCAGTACCTGTCCGCGAAGCGGACACTTCACTGCTTCATCTAAGATAGTGCCCGTGGGCGCCTAAAATAATGTCTTTCGAAAAGATGTTGAAGTTGTCTGGTAGGAGTAGTGGGCCTGGTGGATTGTAGTGGTGTCACTAAGGCTTGTTTTCTGGTAATAGGGAACGAAGAAGCTGAACCAGCTCCTCGTTTTTAAGAAGTTCTTGCATCTCTCGGAAGATATGAAGAAATCTGGTGGCAGTATGGGTAGCAGTCCTGTGCTCTCTGTTCTTTTGTTGTGGCTTTCGGCGTGGTCTCGCATCACAGCCTGTAAAACAGGCAGGATGTTCTCCTCTGCAGTTTACGCAGGTAGCAGGCAGGCTTCTTGGTTTAGTACATTTGTATGTGAGATGATCACCCGCACATTTCATGCAGGCTGGATCAGACTGGCAGTTCTTTTGTGTGTGGCCAAATTTTTGGCAACGATAGCACTGAATGTCCAAGCGTCCTCCTCTAAAACGTTCTATCTGGACTTTTGATGATAGCATCTCTTTGGTGTTTGGGAAATCCGAGTTCTCCGGGCTATCTGGCAGTATAATCAGGAAAAGGGGGAGGAGCTATTTATTACGGCAAAGAAGCAATTCAATATAAAAATTGCCTCCGTTAAAAACAATTGGTAGTTATGGATTTTCATTATTCTTGCCACCGATTTTCGAGAAGCCAGTGGACAACCAAAAGAAAAAACAAATACGAAACGATCGTTGCCTAAGTCTACTACAGATGCTAATCAGCGCAAGAGGTGTCAAATAGGATACTGTAAAGAAAATAAAACCAACAAAATTTGCTCTAAATGTAAAAAATATGTTTGCGGAAAATGTACGATGGACACACTTATATGTAAAAAATGCGATGAATAAAAAATGAATACAAAAATTCTTATTTTTTGCGTTTGTAATAGAAATTGTCAATATACTATTTTGTTTAATTATAATAAATTTTTATTTCCTTTCTAACATCCATGTTTCATAAATTTAAGTAGGAAACATAAATTTCGGGTCATTTGTCCCCCTATGGTAGAATAGGTATCTATTAAGTGTTGGTATCATTAGTGTTAATCACCACTAATACCATACCTGCCAACTTTTAATCCTTCCCATTTTCATTTTTTCCAGTGGTATTAAAATGGAATTAAAACTTCAATTTTAAGCAAACAAATACGTTGTATTTGAGAAAACTTAAGTTGACAATCATGATAGTAACGCATATTAATATATGTGTTTAATTTTTGTAAGAATAGTGGTGATCAAAATCATCTAAAAATTAAGTTTATAAAAGAAAAAATAGTATATTCTTACTACCACTTTAAATATGAAAATAAAATCTTCCGGAGAATCCGGAAGAGTTGGCAGGTATGTAATTCTAATACACATATACTACCACTAATACTTTGTACTAAAAACTAATTTTTATCTATTAATTTCAGATTTAGTTTAGCATTTATTTATAAAAAATTAATGGTTAACAAAGATAGGCAATTTTGGAATACAGGTCACGAAAAATTTCGTCACCGATAGATACACTTTTGACAATTATAATTGTCTCTGAAAGTAACACGTAAGTTATATTTAGGTATCTGAATTTTGGGTTCAGTAAAATGATTTAAATAAACAAATATCATAAATGCTAATTCTCTCATTTTTCGAGAAAGTTTTCTTCAAATAGTTTATAAATATGAGATCAGTTTTTACTAAGATCTCTCATATATTACCCATTGTCAAAATGGGTCTTGGCTTGGATCTGATGGCGTCAACACACTTTTCAACAGTGTTCAAGAGTAATAGTAAACAGTGCACATGCGCCGTCATTGCATGCGTTGCTATGGTGACCGCTGCTTTTTATCTTTTTATTTTCACTAGCAGTCATTTTTAATGTATTTACATAATGATAATTTAAAGTATATATATTTTTTATTATTAACGTAGTTATAATAAAAAGTTTTGTTTTTTATATTTTTTATTAGTAACGTAAGTTTTTTATATTTTTTATTATTAACGTAGAATTACTGACTTGACGGTGATTTCAATATAAATATGAATACTGAAGAAGGAAAAGTATTTTGCGTCGTCTTGAAACACGTAAGGCAG